TAGAGAACAACATCATCCTGCCAGTACTTCAGGCTCACAAGCCAGGAGTCATTCTGGACTCCTCACTATCTTTCACCACCCCACATCCAAGCTGTTGCCAAGACTTGTTGATTTCACCTTTGCAACATCTCTCCAATATATCCCCTTCTCTCCTCTGACACTGTCACCGTTCTAGAACATTTCCTCACCACTTCACTCATATATTTTTCAGACTGCTGGTGGGTCTGCCTATTTCTAGTCTCACCCCATTCTAATCCATCCTCCATTCAGCCATTGAAGTGATTTTCCTAAAGCACAGGTCCCAATCATGTCATTCCTCCTCTACTCAATAAACTCCAGTAGCTCCTTATTACCTCCAGGATCAAAAAAATGTTCTATTTGGTATTCAAAGTCCTTCATCACCTAGCCTCCCCCTCCTACCTTCCGAGTGTCTACACCTTTACTCTCTCTCCCATGTACCCTTTGATCCAGTGACAGCAGCCACCTGGCTCTCAGCCCACAGATGGTAAGGGGGTCAGGCAACTGGTAAGAAAGAGATTACAGGGGCTCCTTTGCTGACACTAGTTGCAGGACTTGATTGCATTGCTCATACATCATTCCGGATCACAGCTCCAGGGCAAGGGTGAGAAGGAGCACTAGCACTCTTGAGCGTGCAGCCACACCACAACAGGGGCCCAGGTCACAGTTCCAGGGTGGAGAGTGCTTCTAGTTGCTCACAGATCAGAGAACAGGTCAGGAGAGCAGTGACCACACCTCTCCCAAGATCATACCACCTTGAAAGAACTGAAAACCAGTTCTGTAAAAAGCAGCACAAAAAACCTCAAGCTTGGGACAGCAGTCAAGAAATAGGCAGGGAAAATGAGCAAACATCAACAACAAAAAAAGGCCCTAATCATAGAAAGTTACTACGCTAACAGGGAAGATCTAAACACAAACTCAGAAAAAGACAACAAAGTCAAAACTGCTACATCTGAAGCCTTAAAAGAAAAATGTGAATTGCTCTCAGGCCCAAAAATAATTCCTGGAAAAGCTCAAAAAGGATTTTAAAAATTAAATAAGAGAAATAGAAGAAAAATTGGGAAAAGAAATAAAAGTGATGCAAGAAAATGATGGAAAAAAAGTCAATAGCTTAGTAAAGAAGGAACAAAAAAATCCTGAACAAAATAACTTAAGAAATCAAGTAGGCCAAATGGTAAAGGAGGCACAAAAATCCACTGAAGAGAAGAACACCTTAAAAAGCAGACATGATCAAATTGAAAAAGAGTCACAAAAATTCTCTGAAGAGAAAAACTCCTTAAATAGCAGAACTGGGCAAATGGAAAAAAGATGTACAAAAGTTCAATGAAGAAAATAATTCCTTTAAAAATTAGAACTGGGAAAGTAGAAGCTAATGACTAGATAAGACATCAAGAAATATTCAAATAAATCAAAAGAATGAAGAAATAGAAGAAAATATGAACTATCTCACTGAAAAAATAATTGACCTAAAGATAGATCAAGGAGAAAGATTTTAAGAATTAAAGCCATGATTACAAAAAGAGCCTACACATCATCTTTCCAGAAATTTTCAAGGAAAACTGCCTTGATATCATAAACCTAGAGGGTAAAATAGAAATTGAAAGAATCTACTGATCACCTTCTGAAAGAGATCCCAAAAGAAAAACTCCAGGAAAGATTATAGCCAAATTCCAGAGCTCTACTGTTATAAAAAATATTGCAAGCAGCCAAAAAGAAACAATTAAAATATCATGGGACCACAGGTAGGATAACACAAGATTTAGCAGCTTCAACATTAAAGGATCAGAGGGCTTAGAATATGATATTCCAGAGGACAAAGAAGCTAGGATTAAAACAAGAATCACTTACTCAGCAAAACTGAATATAATCCTTCAGGAGAAAAAAAGGACATTTAATGAAAAAGAACTTTCAAACATTTCTGATGAAAAGACCAGAGCTGAAGAGAGAACCTGACTTTCAAATACAAGACTCAAGAGAGGCATAAAAAGGTAAACAGGAAAGAGATATCACAAGGGATTCAATAAGCTTGAACTGTTTAATATGACACCTGTAATTCCCATGAACTTTCTCATTATTATGGCAGTTAAAAGGAATATACATAGACAGAAGGCATGGGTAAGTTGACTATAATGGGATGAGATCTAAAAAAATAAAATTAAAGAGAAAAAAGGGATGAATACAATGAGATATTTTTAAAAAACTAAACTAAGGGGTGAGAAAGGGATGCTATGGGAGAAGGGAGAGGTAGAATGGGGTAAATTATCTCATAAAAGAGATGCAAAAATGCTTTTACAGTAGAAGGGGGTGTGGGGTAACAGACAATGCTTGAAACTTACTCTCATCAGAATTGGCTCAAAGAGGGAATAACATACACACTCAGTTGGACATAGAAATTTTATCTTACCCTACAAAGAAGTAGGAAAGAAGGTAGAAGGTAGGGGGCCAATAGAAGGGAAGGTAGATTGAGGGAGCTGTTGGTCTGAAACAAAATACTATGAGAAGGGACAGGATGAAGGGAAAGAGAGACAGAGAAGGATATACAGGGGAAAAACAAGCATGGAGGAAAATACACAGTAATCATAACTGGAAAAATTTTACATCAGGTTTCTCTGATAAAGGAAGAATTTCTTAAATACACAGAGAACTGAGTCAAATTTATAAGAATACAGATCATTTCTGAATTGATAAATGTCAAAAGGATACAAACAGGCAGAAGAAGAAATCAAAACTATCTAAAGTCATATGAAAAAGTGCTCTAAATATCTGATTAGAGAAATGCAAATTAAAACAACTCTGAGCTACTATCCCAGACCTACCACATTGGCTAATACAACGGAGAAGGAAAATGACAGATGTTGCAGGAAATGTGGGAAAACCAGGACACTAAACCATTGTTGATGGAGTTGTGAACTAATCCAACCATTCCGGAGAGGAATATGGAATTATGCCCAATGGGCTACAAAACTACGTATACCCTCTGACCCTACCACTACTAGGTTTGTATCCCAAAGAGATTTTTTTTAAAAGTGGGTAGAGGGGAGAGGAGGATCTATATGAACAAAAATATTTATAGCAGTTCTTTTTGTGGTGACAATGAAATGGAAATTAAGGGGATGCCCATCAACTGGGGAATGGCTAAACAAGTCGTGGTATATGACTGTGATGGAATACTACTTTGCTTTAAGAAATGATGAACAGGATGCTTTCAGAAAAACCTGGAAAGACTTACATGAATTAATGCAAAGTGAACTGAGCAGAATCAGGAGAGCATTATAACAGCAATATTGAATATGATCAACTGTAAATGACTTAGCTATTCTCAGAAATACAATGATCTAAGACAATTCCAAAGAACTTAGGATGAAAAATGCTATCCACTTTCAGAGAAAGAACTGATAGAGTCTGAATGCAGATGGAAACAATTTCTTAAAACTTTCTTTATTTTTCTTGGGTTTTTTGGGGGGGAAAGGGGAGGGCTGAGTTTCCTTTCACAATCTGACTAATATGGAAATATGTTTTGTATGACTGCACATGTATAACCTTTATCAAACTGCTTATCTTCTCAATAAGGGGACTGGGGAGAGATGGAGAGAATTTGGAACGCAAAATTTTTAAAAATGAAGTTAAAAATTGTTTTTACGTGTAATTTGAAAAAAATAAAATATTGAAATGCTATAGCAAATAACTCATTTCCACAGCAGGAAAAAGTTCCTAAAGCTACTTGCTTCATGCAATAGAGCTAATTTCCTTTGCCATAACCAGCCTAGACAGAGAATTTCCACCAGTCTCCACAAAATTATGTATATATCTTTTCTCTCCACTTCCCAATTTTATCTTTTCTTACCTAAAGAGCTTTTTGTATAGTACCCTATTCAAAAGTTTTTCATTAAATAAGTTGATATTACATAAAAGTTTCAAGTACCAGTATTACTCTAATTTTTCACAAGGAAATTAACCAAACTATGAATGCCAAGAGTATTAAAAAGTATTAGTTCCTAGTTGAGTGGTCTATGCACTAAAACTTTTTGTTATTTGGTCATTTTAGTCACGTCCAACTCTTCATTATCCCATTTGATGTTTTCTTGGCAAACATACTGGAATTGGTTTGTCATTTCCTTCTCCAGCTCCTTTTATAAATAAGGAAACTGAGGTAAACAGGGTTAAATGACTTGTCTAGTGTCCCACACAGCTAGTAAATGTCTGAGGTCAGATTTGAACTCATAAAGAGAAGTTTTCCTGACTTCAGGATGAGCACTCTTCTTCCACAGTGCCACCTAGCTGTTCCACCAAAACAAAAACTGTTCCACTGAAGAAGCAGTCTAACAAAAATGAAATTTTAAAAAAAGATTCATGTCACCAAGTGATTGGGCTTACTTTAAAATATTACTGACCAACAAAGAAGCAACTTTAAAAATTTTCTAAATCATAATATTCAAAAGAGAAATATTCCCTAAATACTGATCTGCCAGGGAAAAACAGGATTAGTTAATTTGTTCAAGTACCATTTATTCTTTTCCCATCTACATTAATGAATTATTTGTTTCAAATATCCTGCTTTTGTTAGTCATTGACAGAATTAAAAGGGTTGTGAAAAATTAAAGTATATCTGATAGCACAACACAAATCCAGATTCTTCAGAAGTATCTCTACGTATTAATACATAGAAGCTCAATCTAGGAAATTCTTCAAAAACAGAAGTTTAGACAGAAATCTGATCAATATGTTCACTGTTCTTCCTTAGAGCAATATAATAGAAATCTATTATCATGCCTAATAGAACAATACAGAATTTGGTTAAACTATAAGCAATACAGCAAAAATATTTTAACAAGATTTTCACAAAATTTTATATAAAAAAACAAGCAACTGAAATTAAAATCATACTTTAACAGGAAAAAGTCTCACAGTTCATAAAAGAGAATTTTGACATATTTTGTTAATGTTTGAAAGTGAATTTCTAAAAATGTTTAACCATGCTTTACCTCTCGTATCTCATGGCCAGCTCCTCTGTACGACTGTAAATCCTCCAGAATGCCTTCTGCATCTTTTAATACTACATTCACCTGATTATAAATTTCCTTTTCAGATTCTGTGGGCTGGGCATCTAAATACCAGGAAAGTACAAGAAAGTTATAGGGGATATATATGCGTGTGCATATGCATATATATTATATCATGACGTATATCACAATAAATCATTGAGTAATCTTTCTGCATAAAAGCTTTATTTCACATATAAATTTACAACTCAGGACAGATGTGTAATGGGGTTTTTTTGGTTACTTTATTGTCTAGATCACCACCTGCAATAATGAATTCAAAGAACCACCAATTAAAATTTAAAACTATCATATTCTATTTTTTCTATTATGTTCATGGTAATGATGATATCCTATTTAAAAGGCTTCAACTATTCAAACTGAAGGTCTATTCTCATAGATTGAATAATTTTTTATATAGATTCAAATTTTCAACTATAAAGTTATTGCATGGAACATATTTTTAAGGCTTTTTAAAAAAATCCTTTCCTGTAATAAGTTCTTGTTCAATATCAATAATACAGTTTATTCCTCAAAAAGCAAAGGAAGAAGCAAGTAAAACCAAAACTTGGTCTATATAATTAATCACATATATTCAACTATATTCAACCTCAAAATGACTTTGCAGAAGACACTAATTTTGAAGTGGTCCCAAAATTTTGAAAAAGTACTTGTGGAACTAGATAAGGTTATCTAATTACAAATAGCACAATGCTAGTCACAAAGGGTGTCAGGCACATAATAATACGCTGAATACAAAGGGCATCTTTATAGTTTGCTATTACTCTAGCTAACAGAAATCTCCTAGAAATATTTCATTAGGTAGAGGAGCAAAGTACTCTACAAAATAAGACAAAATTAAAGTAGGGTTGCGGCGGGGCTGGGGCTGGAGGGAGGAGGAAATTGGAGAGGGGTGGGTTGTGACTGTGTTGATTTAAATCTCTGTTGGGAGAAACTCTCTCTACCAATGTAGATCAGCAATTGGTCATGTAATATACAACATCTGCCAAGTGGCCTGGGCCCCTGCAAGGTTAAGTGTGTGGCTCATGATCATAAAATCGTGTGTCAGAGGAGAACTTAAACCTAGGTCTTCCCCGACTTTCACAGCAGCCACTATGATAACTTTAAAAGGATATATTCTATAACAACGTATGGCTATTTGTGTTATATACTTCTTATTTCAATCCAATTCAACAAACACTGTACCCTGAAAGCAATCCCATACAAAATAATAGCATTATAATTTCTTTAAGAATTTAGAGAGGGATTGTACTTGCAGAATATTCATTATTTTATCAGTTCTGAGGTTTTACCTTATCAGAGGGAAAGTACACACCTACAGTGTTATGTTAAGGACAATTATCAATTTTGAGATTTGTTTCTCTTCAATTTAAAAATGAATCTTTTCCATTTTTTGTTACTTCTCTAAAACTGGGGAAAAAATTTAGCTTTGCAAAAGTTTCTGTCTTTCTCCCACGACCACCCTTAGAAAGTAAGTCACAAAAGAATAAAGAATAGAGAGGAAAGAGGCAAAACAGTAAAGGGATGGAAGCAAAAATGACAATAGCTGAAAAAATTGTCATGATTCTCTTTTATGCCATGACTAACTTCATAATACTAATTCACTTTTCATTACACAATACTTAAAGTAGTTAAAAATACACTAAAACTTGTTTCTAAAAATTCTCAATTTTTGACAATTACAGTATTGAAATTTTATGTAAAACAGACTTAAAATTTACTATGATTCAACAATAAAATAAAGCTGAATCTATTTGTTCAATTAACATTTAGTAAATGCTTTAAATAGTGCAAGGAGTAAGTATGCATTCACATATTCATTTATTAAAATACTCTATCCGGGACATTACCCTATACATAGAACACAAATGTTTATTGAATGAAGTTGGGTTTTTTTTTTCCAATTCTGTTTCAGTATTTCTAGATTCTTTTTGACAGAAAACTTTAAACATAAAAATAATATAGCTGTGTCCAAACAACAATTATCTTAAAACAACCATTTATATTGGCTTTTCAGTATGAATGACTTTTTAGCCTACATCACTCAGCAGTAATAGTTATTTTTTAACTGGGATTTTTTCCCAAAAAATATTAATTCAAAAGATATTAACCAAGTTTAGCTTTTGAAAATACTTACTCTAGGTGCAGTTGAAAACAATATTTTCACAGGCAAAAATATTGGCTAGTAATCTTTTTTGCATAAAGTAATTCAGTTATAAAAAATATCATTAAGAAATACATTACTGAATCCATTTAATAGGAATTTATGATGATATTTAAGATACCTGCATAATATCTATAAGGCATTTCTAAAATTAGAAAACATTTACATTAAATCATGCAAGTTTATCTGTGGATGACTAGCTGTTGACAAGAAAATGACATTTAGACACTGAGACTAACATACAAACAGAACATTATCAAGTAGCCTTAAGTAGATCTCGCAAGTGGTTATTATTGTTTAAATTAAAACTTTAGCAAACACTAAGAAATTTTTAAAAATAAAGGGAAAGATTGTGGTTTCCTCTTTTTAAAAAACATCTAGCATCACACTAAACAATTTTTAGACTATCACAGGAAAGTCACATTTATAATTTTGAAAGCTGCTGAAGACTGCTGTAGAAATGAAGACAAAAACAGGAAAAACAGCAGACAGGTAAGCACTAATTTGCTGATAGCAATTCATGCAAGAGGAGTGAAATGCTAAACACAAAATAGTATAAAAATGAGGCACATTATAGCATTTCAAATAATATCGGCATTTTTATGTAATGCAATCAAGACTTGTCACTTTTGTTTTTCTTGGCAAATCACTGCTTTACAGAATTTGAAGAAAAATGTACTATTTGTCCACCTAACAAAAGAGCATTCATTTGATAGTAACATAGTGGTACATTTACTTCAACCAGTAGGCATGCACTGATTGCTCACTAAACTTAATTCTAAAAGACATTCATGAAACAACGTGGGCATGTTTTAATTACTTCTTTTTCTGTTTAACAATGAAATAAAATGCTTTAAAATTTTTGAGAACATTGTTTCCAAAAATGGAAAGGATCATTAAATACGATGGTAAGTTCAGAGAAAATGGTCCCACAACACAAAAGGACACAAAGATAAGAAATACAAAGAAAAAAAAGGAGTCTCAACTTGGCAAATTACTGCAGTATACAGTGACTTTATGGATTCTTCACCCAAAAACAAAAAAATCCCTTGTATGAATTAAAGTAAGCTACGATGTAATGTGACTCCACTTTGACACATACACAAGTATATGCTCTGGATTTTTTTTTTTAACAGAGATGCTAACAAGCAGACCAGATATTTAAAAGAACAGATGACAAGTACTGGAAGATAGCAAGATTAAAAAAAAAAAAGAAATAGAGGGATTAACTTATTGTAAAATGTTTAAAGGCAGTCAAAGTGGTAAAAGAGATATAAGTAAAGAGGAAGTGGAGAAAGGGAAAGAAAATTCAGGAGATTTCAACAGAAAGAAGAGAAGGGATGGAATATTATACTGTTAAAAGGTCAATAATAATAAGAATAAAAGTATAGCTAAGCTTAAAGGTATAGTTCAATTAAATTCTCATTTCAATTGAAAATGATCATCTCAAACTCATTTGTTCCCTGATTTCACTTTCCTTAGAGACAAATGGAAGCATGTGTGTGTGTGTATGCGTGCCACACACACATACACACACACACATAAATATGTATATGTGTATTCTATGCATACTCTCTTAGCTCAAACAGGCTGAGAAGTGATTTTATTTAGCCACACTAAATAAAACATTATAATCAGAAAACACTTTGAAAAAGTTCTATGCCTTTGAGCAGTACTGTATATTGTCATTAATGCTTTTGGTTTTTGTTTTGTTTTTATTTAAACCAGACTGTGGTTTCATTGGTATAGCCAGCTCCCAGTAAAGTCTTTGGAAGTCTCTGGGGTACTAAAGAGGTTAAGTGACTTCTTCAGGATCACACAGAGGCAGCACAGAATCACGTATTCCTGATTGTGAGACTAGATTTCTAATCACTCAGCCAAGTTATCTCTCCTCTCTTCCTATAATCATTACCAAATACATGGAATAGTTATATACAGAAAACTAATTAAGCTTAAAGTAACCCTGATGCATGAAAATCTGGACTTAAAATAGGAAAAGTGATCAGAGGAGGATTATTTTTAAATTTTCAAATGGGTATATGCTAGCATTCTTTAAAAGTAACTATATCCTATATGAAATTACAATTTAACTAATATTCAAACATTTTAAATTAATGAATTTATTTCAAACTTATTTCTAACCTAAGCCTCACCTAATTCTAACTATGTGATATACAGGGCCAGTTCTGTTACACTGGCTTACAAGACTAGAAAAATTCTAAATGACATAAAATATCTATGTAATAGAATGATGTAAAGTTATATATGACCTAAAAGTTGTTGCCAGACAAAAGTGAACAACTTTATGCAAGAAATTGCTTATTTTCCAAAGTACATGCTCAACTATTCTTTATCATTACATAAAACACATAAGAACTAACAAATATCCTTTCCAGATTTTTAAATTGAGAAGGGATAGAAAGTTAACACGAAAACAAAAGATTGGTCTGACTGTAGTACAACTAGGGTACAGGAGTGTCTGTACTAAGAATAACTACTTCCTTAATGTGACTAAGCAATTTTATGAAGGTGTATCTCCGAAAATGATATAAACTGGAAATCATTCTTATGCTAAAAACTCACATTTAAACTTAAAATAAGTGCTAACAAAGGCCAAACTACATTTTAAAAAAATTTTCTCCACTGATACTCTGCCCAGAAGATAAGTTAAACAAAAAAGTACAAATTCGATCACATATGCAATTATGTGTCATTTTCAAATTTGATGTATTTGCTTATGGAAAATTTATAAATTAGTCCTTCACTGACATTACTGGGGACCTTTTTTGTTCTCACTAAATCATCCACTTGAATTTTATGAAACAAATTTGGAATAATAAATTTTTCTTTTCCCAAGAGGAAGTAGACCAAGACTAAATAAATTTCTAAATACTGTATTAAATTCACTGTTCTTCACTAGGCCACAGTCACACAAAATTAGGTTTATACAAAGATCAAGTGCCAAGTCTTGAACAAGATCCTGACCTATTAAAGCCAAGATTCTGTAAATGCAAGGCATCTCAAATTAAGGAAAGGAAGAAGCCAGGAGTCGGAGTAGCAGATAAAAATACAAGACAAAGTTTAAAACAGACATATATGGACTAAAATACAGCTGAAATGTAAAAGCCTCATCTAAAAAAGTAATCTTTAATGTCAGCAATCTGCTCGTCATTCCCCAAGCTGATGCCATTGAAATACATGCTTTACATGCACTTAAAACAGCGGTATTAAATTGTTGAGAAGGGCAAAGGAAATTGTTATTAATCTTCATATATTTGGCAAAAAGTTGACAAATGATTATCTTATTGATGCTAATATTAAAGAGAGCGCTATAAATTGGCACAAAAGTACAAATTTCTTAAACTACAATTGTTTTACTAATGAAACACAATATTTGGCCAACCAGACCATAAAATTCATCTTAAAAATATAGATTAGCTAAAAATCATCATGTTAACTCTTCACTGATCCTGGTTGACAGGAAAAAAGCAAAACATCACAAAATATAACTATATATTGTGTAACACTGCAAACTACATTAAGAGCTAGGGAAATAAAATAATTCATGAAAAAAGAGGCAATTATTTCTCTGGTAGGTGATTATCACTAACCAGAAATGTTTTAAATTTTTGCTTTCTTCAAACAGTTCCTTCAAAAGGGTTTAAACTTATACACAACTGTAGAAAATATAATGAAAAATAAATATCTTCACCCTTTCCTAACAATTTACTTTAAGTTCAGCTAAAATGGTAACATCCAAACTAAAACAACTATTTGACATAATTTTTAAAAAATTTGATAGAAACAAGCTAAAGCAATAATGGACAGCCAAAAAGCAAAGCAGTTCCACATGCAGAGCAATCAATTACACTTACCTGCCATTCTTAGACCATATTACAATAGGTCATGCAACATAAAACAAACAGAAGGCAAATTACTTAAAGGTCTGTGAACCACTTTCTGTTTTTGTTTTTAATTTTCATTTAGCATCAATTCGGGAAGAGGGGCAAAGAATATATGACTGAGATGCATTAAAAAATTTTCAAGCTGCACAAAGTAGGCAATTCTCTGCCAAAATTGACTAAATTAGGTTCACACTTACCTTTTAATATTATGCCCAAATTACTGAGCTGTGAATGGCCTTCATGAACAAATTTATAAATAAGATATTAAAGTACTGGGACAAAATAATTCAATATTGGTGAAGTTATCTTGAAATACAGTACGTTACCTCCAGATATTACTTCTCCTAATAAATCTGGAGATGCTTTTCTAGCAGCATTTCCACCAAAATTATTTCATTTAAATGTTTGTATTGATAGATCTTGAGATAAGAGAGTATATCCTTCTTATAAATACAACTACACTGCAATAAAGCAAAATAAATGTTTATCTCAATTTGATGAATGAAATAATATGGGCTGTTTCAAGAAGGCAACAGAAATTTTATCCAACAATTCATAGCTCAGTCATGCAAAGCGGTTATAAAGATGGCTAAGTGAAGACATTCATTTAGTGCAAGACAAACGCAGTCTACTGCAGGCAAAGAGAAATAGATATATAAAATCATCTTCTCACTTTCAAAATCAAGGAAAAAATTTGGCCCCTGCTCAAGGTCTGTGCATGTCAAAACTTTAAGAAGATTCCCCATGTTAAGGTACCTGTCAAGACAAGAATGAGAAAAGAGAGAATATCCCTTTATAAAAAGATACATCTGAAATATAGTAGAAAAATAGTAGAGCGGAAAGAGAAGCTCTTCAGGTATGAACTCATCCTTCAGGCTACCCACTCTGTGAACAGGCAAAGAACAACCTTTATTCTCAAGGTATCGACCTGTAGGACCTAGAGGTGAAATGTGGTTTTCCTGTATAAAACGACACATTGTCACTATATTTCTTCTCAAAGTTTTCCTAAGAGGTTTGATTAAAGGCCTTATAGTGAACAATTCTTTCAGTATTTCAATAGTGCTAGTGTTCTGAGCATTTGTATTCTACTATTTGATCAAAAATAATTTCATCTGAATTTTTTATATTATATTTGAGTAGACTTTATCTTAAAATTGAATATTAAAAAATTATTGCACAGGTATATTTTAACTCTTTAATTTAAAAGTTTTCTATAAAACTTACATGTCAATATAAGTAATAATACTCTTTAAAATTTTGGACAACACTATTACAAAATCAAGTTTCTGATTTTTTATCATTTGATCAGGTCACCATCTAGTAATGGAAAAAAACTAAACTAGACTTGGTTATGTATATCCATAGTTACTATCAAACTGCTCAGCATAGTCACTAAAGCACACAATGAGAATTTTCATCATAAGGCTACTTGCTTCATGGACCAATGAGAGGACAGCACTGGATACAAAGACTCAAATGATATTAGCAAATGAAAAACCAAAAAATTATGTCACAATGTTCAGCAACTACTAGAGGAAAAATCATGCAACCTCTTTTTTCCATGTTTTACCAACAAATTGGCTTGCCTTCACTGTGGTGGTAGAAATAAACAATGTTTCACCATTACCATAATGCACCAACTGTGAAAGGCTGAAGAGACTTACTTTCAAAATCCAAGAAAAAATGTGCTGCATTGTGGTCTATGTCCCTGGTTAGCACCTTAATGAGATTACCCATGCCAGCAAACCTAAAAATAAAAATGGCAACATCATTTAGTTCCAGTAAAAAAAAAAAAGTTTTAAGCAGAGGCCTGGGATTCATCGAGGGCGGCTTTTCCATGGCTCCCCAGCAGGTGCAGGTCAGGTTTATGGGTTCTTGCAACTGAAAGGTTAGGAACACAGAAACATTTGGCTCTTACTCCTCCCACTTTTGTACTTCTCAAAAAAAATATCAAATCATAAAAAAGATTAGATTTTCCATATACTTGCAATATTTATTTTTACTACCAACATCTGTCACTACATTACATACTTCATAAATCTTCTAATAAAATACTGAAGGCAGGAATACAAAAAGAAAAAATCTTCAACTTAAAATTAAAACATCCAAAGTAGATTTCTCAGAATTATATTACATCTGAAATGGAAAAGTTTTCTATTATAATGATGTTTGTGTTGCTTCTTTACTAGTTATACCCCTATTCTGGACAGCAAGGGAATGAGTTCAAGTTATTAACTACTGAACAGATTAAGTTAATTTAATTTTTACCAAAATTTCTCATATTCTTGCCCTTCCATTACACACACACACAGAGGGAAGGTGTCTTTTCTATTAAAATGTACATTCACAGAAAACTGCAATTCTAATATCCCAGTTAAATTTCAATAACAATCTGACTAAATTCTCATGAGACAAAGCCTGTAGAGAAGACCAAAGAAAAACTATGACAGGTGTTATCTAGAAGTAGCTGGTGAGCAATCTTTCTATAACAATAATTCAGACTTAATGTTACTGTCTTACAAAGCAGTCTGTCTTATAATAAACAGTATATCTGTGTAATCTGCTCCTTTCTGTACCCCAGTCTACATAATTTTCAGATACTTTAAAGCAATGGCCTAGAGAGTTCTGAAAACCACAGGTTTTAGAGAAAAGAAATAGCTGTATTATTTATTTTATATCAAAGCTTAATCAAGACAGAAATATACAGCAAAATCTAAATTAAAAAAAATACTACAAGCCAATAATGAGCACTGGAATTATTTTCCCTTTTAAAAAAAAAAAAATAGTATACTGTCCTCAGTATATGAAGACTGTAGATAATGATGTATAAATGTCACCTCATTACATAAACATCATTTTGAGAGAATAAAGGTCAAACATAAATATGAATTCATACAAATATTAATAACATACGATGTATCAATTTAAAGGAAAAACATTACCCTCACAAATAGTTTTTTTTTAAAGCTTGAAATTTCTTTACTAGTTCTACTCAATGCAAGGATTTAGAAGATTTATAAAAGATAATTTCATGACCACAACAAAAATATGTGGCTTCATGCTATAAAGAGATATTAAGTTATCCAGATAAAAACTATCAGTTTTTGCCAAGGCTAATATCACTAAAAGTATTCCTAATACTGATGAGATTTTTAATATACAATCTTTAATTCAGATCATTTTAAATTTAGCCCCCAAAAATGGTATCCTTTCTTACAACTAGTAAACAACCTTTACTTTTCCTCATAGTGATAAGCAAAATAGGAGGTAAGATTATATAGAAGCCAAAAGTCACAAAATAACTGCTAATTTTTACCCCCAATTTCCTTCAAGAAATCAACAAGCACTTCTTATGCACTTACAATGAGCTCAGCACTGGGGATACATGGAAGTACTCAACTTACAAACAGGCTATTTCAAAGGTTCTTAAGTATTTTGGATGTGTTTCTTAGGTTCCCAGGCTAGCCCATAAATGACTGACTTAGTTGAATTAATAGTCTATGTTCTCTGCATCTTAGGGCATGGCATAACTAGGTTCAAAATAGAAGACACTGACAAGGAAGAAGAGAGTTTTATACTCCTTTCCTACATACATACAAGGATAACTAGAAACAAAATTTTGAAAAAGGCAGAATTTACCTTTAGTATCCACTCAACTATCTTTTCATCCCACTCTTCTATCCCCAGTACCTCTCTCTGTTTTCCCAGGCACTCAGATTTTCAATATCCTCAGCCTTATTAAGGCTTCCATTATGGTACTCCAATCAGGCCTATGTTACCTTCCCAAAGTATTCCAAGCTCCAAAACTGCTTATGTTCCTTCTTTCCTAATTAAAACTCCCATCCTCTCAGTATAGTAAACCTTAGATGTTAGGCATTTAATTTAGCAAGCATTAAGCACTATTGTAGGTGCTAGGGATTAAAAAATGATAAAGGCACAGTTCCTGCTCTTAAAGAGCTTGGAACCTAATGGGAGAATGAATTATATACACAAATAACACAAAGTAAACTGTAGGTTCAAACGAAAGATCCATGTAAAGTGCTATGAGAAAATCAAAGGACAATTTACTTCCTTCTTAGAGAGAAAAGAAACGTGAGAGTAAGAAGGATAAGTGAAAGTTTCGCTGGGATTATGTCACCTTGGATCCTGCCTGATGAAAGAGAATAATTCCCATGAGTAGAAATGAAGCAAGATGGGGAAGAATTTTTCTTCCCCAAGAAGGCAAGAAGGCATAGAGAATGGAAAATGATGGTGGAAAATGCAGGTACAGAAAAGAACAAGACAAGAACAGGGGAAATAAGTCATCATATGAGACAGAGGTGAAAACATCAACCGAAGCTGGAAGAAACCAATATGGCCAGACTCTGAATTCTCCCTAATGAGTAAATGACTCTTGATTGATCTTTCTGTTTTGTTTCTGAGAGAGGAGGTGTTAAACCCCAATGAATTTCTACTTGGCAGATTATCAAGGTAACAAAATAACCTTAAAAATTGGAAACTGTGGGAGAAGTCTGGTCCCAGATGGGGGACAGCGCCATTTCTTTTAAACTATTTCTACTTTTCATAACTTTTCCCTTTAACCACTTTTAAACTTCAATTCTCTAAAAGCTATAAGCTTTTTTCAAAATGGCTTCTATGACAACAAGGTTGATGGCCTCCCCAATGAAGGAACTGAAAGTAAGGGCAATCATTTTAATTTATGATATAAAAAGGTTGTACATAAATTGGGGACTCGAATATAACAAAAATAGTATTATGGTAGAACAAACATCAAAGGTACCAAGAGATGGAAACAGCATAGGGTAAAATGAAAACAGCACAGGTTTTAGTGTTTAAAAAGAAATAACTTTAGGTTAAAGTTTTAGTTCTCATATTTGATAACCATCTAATCCTCTAATCCTAAACAAGACATAATCTCCTAGAGGCTTAGTTTTCTCATTTGTAAAACAGGAATAATACTTTCACCACCTACCCTCACAAGATTATTGAGACTATAAATATCAACTTTTGTAATAAGGTAGCCAGGTTGTTTCCTTTAAAATACTAAGTTTCATTCTTTACCAATGCAGAGAAAATAAGGGATAATTCTATAGGAAACAAAAAGAATATACAGAGAAAAAAATCCTTTATTCATCTTTTTTATAACCATATGATTGTCAATATTCAATTCAACCTATTAAAAACGTATGCAGCCACTATTTGCAAGACACTAAAGCACTATAAAGATAAATAATTTCATGTCCTCAAGGAAGTTAAAATGTTAACAATTTTTCATACCTAAGTTTTCCTTTCTGCTAGAAACTAAAATAAAACATCACTTTCTACAAACAAATTACAACTCAAACTGGATAAGCATAAATACCAGGCACCAAAATGACTTTGCCATTTTTGACAGGAATAGCACAATCATCAATAAGATACTAGCCAAAATGTGACCCACCCCTCTTCAAACAATATGTATCTTGACATTTCAAACTCTCTTTTAATCAATTAAATCCTTAAGCTAGCTGACCAATCATCTGATACACTGAACCGGAAGGTCAAATCCCGTTTCTATTTAGCCAATGTACTAATAATGATTTTAACATTTTAAAATACAATAAAATATCATTTAAAAATGTAAGATCCATTTTTAGCTCCTTGCACTATACAAACTGCCGGCCCTTTAGTTTACTGACCCCTAAGTTACAGAATGAGTTATAATCACTACATAGGCTACAATGTAGGCTATTACAAACCTACGTCCTAAGTTCTTAGACGTTTTCAATTCTTTTTTTATGTTCATTTTTAATTCTGCAGAGCTTGTGATCAATGACAGACAACACAATTAACAATTATATTGCTTCTGAGGGGCAATGAAATCTTCTTTTCCAGCTGTTGAAATATGGTCCTAAAGAAGTATAACTTTACTGTCAAGTGCTGCTAGAAATAACCAGTTTACAAACCTCCTTATAAAAATATAAGAGCCTCTGGAAAACAGGATCTCAAAGATGATTCACTGTGGAACACATACTTAATATATCTGTGATCTTCAAAGGTACTTTGAAGTCTTACCTGATTTCCCCTCTCTCCCACCAATTCCTGGTGCTCTTCTCTTCTCTAACTACATGGTCCTTAACTACCTCACATTGATGTGTATTTTTTCTCTTATTTATATTGTCTCCTCCCCCTATCTGCACATTACAACATAAGATCCTTGAGCAAGGATTGTTTCATTCTTTGTACCTACATAACAATAGGTGTTTTTAAATGCTTGAGAACTATTCCCTCAAATGGTGCAAATCACAACCCATTCGTGACTTTTCATACAATGCTCATCCATGTTCTCTCAGAAATCTGCTAAACCACCCTGTGTTGAATTATTTTCAGAGGCTCTTATTCTTAGCCATCTTGTTTGTCAATGTCCACTCCTCCATGAGAGCCAAGCAAAGGAAGAAAGGAATGTGCAAGCTGAAACAAAAAAAACGAAAAAATGAGGCAAAGACCCAAGTACTTTGACTGTGCTGAACACAGAAGTCACAGAAGCAGAGAGGTAATGCCAGATCCCTGGTCACATCTGGCAGAAACCTTAAGTAGACATCACCCTAGTGAAAGACAATAACAGCTCTCCTACCTGATGCAGAACTCTCAGTTCTACCATAATCTTATCATTATGTGATTCCTCCCTAACAAAGGACATTTTATCTTTTAATCCAATATTTACCTGCTGCCTGAAATCAATTCACTTAATTGTGTGCCATAGACCCTCCTGTTATTCCGGACTGATTAGGATTTTTCGGTAGCTAAGTGTAGCACTTATATAAGTCTACTCCATTTTTTGGTTGGAAAAAAAATTATTTTGAGAGGCAGTGTGGTTTAATTTAAAGAGAGCCAGCAGGATTTGAAGTCAGAGAACATGAGTTTGAATCTCAACTCTGCTATTTACTACTACCTTGTGACCTAATTTACTACCTGAGCCTCAGTTCTTCATTTGTAAAATTAGGGAAGTTGGATTAATTGACCTCTGAGAAACCTTAGAGTTCTAAATCTATAATACTATGTTCTGCCCAAGTATTGAAAGCTCTTTAAGCCTTTTTATATTTCATGGGCGTTAAGTGGGACAATTAAACTGTCTGTTTTCCCTCATTCTCCCTATACATACATACATACATACATACATACATACATATATATATAGATAGATAGATATAGATATAGATATAGATATATATGATTAACCTGCCTCTCTGTCTGATCATCTATTTCCTGAATTAAATCCCTCATGTCATTTCTGAGGCATAGGTCATCACTGGGAATAAACTGTTGACTTTGAGTCATGACCCAACTCAGATTCTTTGGAGACATTCCAAAATTCATAACAATATAGTTATCACCAGGATAATACTTATATCTAAAAAGACAGGCTTTTATGCCAGGAAACAGAATAGGATCATTAATAGTACTGCAAAGATATAGTTCCTTTTAAGAAATTAAAGAGGCTAAAGGCCTTTATGAGACTATTCATAAAACAAAATACTTGTATGTCATAAATGCTTCTTCCAAGAGAATTGAAAGGGTCTGAATATGGTCAACACCAAAAAGCATCATAAAAATTAAACTGACTATATCTTAACCAAAAGAAAATGATTAGTTGTTGATGTTAAAAGTCTTATCAAAATCGGCTATCTATGTAGATTCAGACCTTTGACTACTTAGAGCCAAGTCAAAATTAACACCAAAACTGTAGAGTGTTGGTGAGAAGGCACTGCAATATTTATTTACAATCCCAACAACTTCACACTGACCTATTAGTCAAAGAAACCATAGTTCTTACTTCCTTCTCTATTTCCTGTTACTAAAATTTGTTGTTTATAGCTTCAGAAAAAGTTATTTGAAATTTCTATCTTCTAAAATTCTTTGTCTTAAAAGAAAAAATCATAATTAACAAAATCAATATTCAGTGTTAAGAACATATTCTAATATTAGACATTTTAACATGTTATTTAAAATGTATTTCCAAACTAGATTTTAAAAACCAAAAAAACTTTCAAAAATATTTAATAATTCTAAGTTGCTTATATAAACTAACCTTTCTACAACTGACCTATAAACTAAGCTCTTCAAGGGAAAAAGCTATTTTTCAACAAAAAAGTTTAAAATTTGGAAAACTTTTATTTTGTTATATAAATGGAACACAGATCAAATGACGTCAATCTCCAATTGGCCTGCATTAAAATATCAGCACATATTAAAAAAAATTCCAAATAACCAAACTAAGTGGTCAACAAACAAAAATTTATACCAAAAACTAACGATATAAGGAAGTCAAGGAAGGTTAACAAGATTTCAATAAAATTTAAAACAAAACAAAAAGAATTCCAATAGTTGTCTAATTTTTTTCAAAAAGAAAAGAATTTATAAAGGCAACTGATTCCTGTACCAAATAATACCTCAAAAACATTTTTAACTTCTATATAAAGGAATAAATTTCATAATCTAAATTTAAATCACAGAAGAAGCTAGGAGGTGCAAGGCCTGGAGTCAGGAAGAAGTAAGTTTAAATCCAGCCTCAGATATTTACCAGCTTTGTGACCCTGGGCAAGTCATTTAACCTCTGTCTGCCTCCATTTCCTCATATGTAAAATGGGGGTATATGAGCATCTATTTCCCATGATTGTTGTGATGATCAAATGAGATAATATTTGCAAAGTGCTTTGAAAACCTTAAGGCACTTATATAAATGCTAATTACTATATTTTTATCCAACTGAAATAAAACAGTAAAAAAAAATTTTAGAGATCAGAGGTTACTACAGAGATAAGATCATTTAAGTCTAACCTCATTATAAAGTGAACAAACTGAAGGACAGAGAAATTAAATTGCCCAATAATATGGCATTTAATACATATTTCTGGAATAACATAAACATTTGTAGGTAGCAGAAAATAACATGCATGGAATTCAGGTGACTTGCATTCAAATCCTATCTCAAACACTTACTAGCTGTGTGAACTTGAACAAGTCACCTAACTAGTTTGCCTCAGTTTCCTCAACTGTTAAATTAGAATAACAATAGCACCTACCTCCCAGGGCTGTTGTGAGGACAAAATGAGATAATATTTGTAAAGTTCTTAGCACACAGTCTGGTTCATAATAGGCACTATAAAAAGCTAGCTATTATTATTAATAACATTTAAGATCAAAATAGCAACTTTATATTATACATCTGACTATATGCAGTAAATCAAAGCTTCTCTCCCCTCTGGTTATTTGTGATTTGTTAACATTAAATGTGAGCAAACTTTTTTTTTTTACTGGACCTATAATTTCATTCAAATTCAGGGAGATCCTGGTGGTGAGCCTTTACCAACATAGACTGCTATTTCTCTGTGACTTGCAGTCTTAGAGAATTGCCTACGTCACTGGGAGGTTAAATATCTTGTCCAAGTACATAAAATCAGGCAATTGTGTCAGTGGCAGAACCTTCAACACTGGTCTTTTTGACTCAGGCTGGTGCTACCTCTCAAATAAAATGTATTGAGAAAAAAAGATATGAGCTGAATTTTATATCTTAAGTCTCTTTCAGCTTTAAGTGCTATGATTTTATAAAGCAAAATATTTATATACAGTCAATCAAACACTGGAGGAAACCTTAATTCAACAAGTTCTACATTCTTAGATGAACCTTCTATTTATGAATCCATTATAAATAATCCAGGACCATAATATAAATGAAAAATAGAGAACAAATGAATATTTTTTAAACCAGGTTACTCTAAAGTTATTCAACTAATGTTTAGGAAGATGCAAATATGGTTTGTGTGTGTATGTGTATATGTGTGTGTGTCATACAAAAACTATAAAACAGTATAAACTGTCTACATTATCAACGTTTTCGAGTCTAAATTAGCTTTATTGTACACAGAACATTCCCTTTAAAATAATATGGGCCTCAAATTGTTAAGATCAAGTTCTAACTCTGGCAGCCTAGAAGTAAAGAATTTCTCCAGATCTATTTAACACACACCTCTCTTTTGGGAAGTGATGTCAGTATACAAAATAAACTGTACCAGCTTTATTTTGTGGCATTTAATTGAGTATACTACCTTGTATCAACGACTTACTTTATGAGTACTCTAAAAACAGAAGACTTGTCTCCTTCAAAAAAAAAAACTTACTAAAGAAAGTAAATAAAAATAAAGTTAAAATATGGGGCTTATATTCTTAGCTACTCTAACACTATGTGGCATTAAAACATCACAAGTTGGCTGGCTACCATTTTTACTGCTATCCTACAATGTCATTATAGGACACTTAAGTAACTCCTTTGTACGCAAAATCAAAAGGAGTCACATGGACTAACAATCATCTCCTGTGACTAGCCAAGTTTAAACAACAGCAACAATTTTCAGAAAAATGAATTTTCCAAGTGTTATGCACCACGGTGCCAGTCTATTATTATTATTACTACCCAAAATGAAGTAGCATGTGATAAAATGTGAATGGAAAAGCATTTTACCTGCATATTCCAGAGTTCAATATTCTTTGTTTCTTGATAAAATCACTAACACCTAAAAGAGAACAGGAATCTGGACTCTCAGGACTGTGTTGGATGTTGAAGTCATCAGATCTTGCAGGGGAAACAACCCCGAACTCAGGTCTTAGCAGCTAAAAGGAGGAAATTATTTTCATGTGTTTTGTATTAATATACTAAAACAAAAATTTAACAAAACTTGTATTATAGACCCAACTCAGTCCATTCAATATTTACTAGAGACTGAAAAGAAATCTGTTATTCAAACTATAAGGTAGATTTGATTTTATGACCTTAAAAGGGCTAAATTACTTGAAGTATTATTAGCTGTAGTGTAAACACCATAATAGCACAACTAGAATTCCTTATTTTAAATAAAGCCCACCCTTCTGAAATTTCAAGCTAAAAAAACCAATAAAGAAGGCTCTATTTTACTGTACAAAAGTTTAATCTTGGAAATTTTTAGTCTAGAATGTTACACAGGTTAGAAAGTTAAGTTCTGTTGGCCCGGGTAATGGTATAACATAAGCTATTAAGAAATGTACATACTCTGACATGCAATTCCTGATTTATTTTGCAATGGTAAATTTATTACTGAATCCTCACTTTTCTTCCTCAAGTACCAGAGTGCACATACTTATTTTTTTAAGTAAATGAAAAGTATTTTGTTTTGGTAATTTTAGACCATTTTTAAGATAAATGGAAACAGATTAGGGTAGTACAAAAGCAAGACTAGCTATCACTAAATCAAACTGAACAATCCAAAGTCACAATAACACTGAGTGTAGAGTCTAAAGATTGGCATAAAGGAAATTTCTATCATCTGGAGAGAATGTAAGGGAGACAAGTGAAGAGCTAAGAGTATGTGCAATCAATCAAAAAAGAATTTATAAAGCACTTACTATTAAGTGCCAGATACTGTGCTAAGTGTTGGGGAAATACAAAGACAAAAATGATACTGTCCTGGCTTTAAAGAAGCCTATGAGCAAGTACTACAAAAGTACTTCCAGACTTAAAAAAATGAACAAAAAAAAACTAATTAGTATCTCAATCTTTCAACTAAATATGTTCAAATCAAGCCATTCAGTCATTTTTCTTCTATGACCATATAGTATGAATCTTATAGACGTGAAAATGCTATTTTCTTTAGAGAAATTATCATCATTTTTGCTCAGAAACATATTTCTGCAGTAATTTTACAGTTAGCTAATATTACATTTTTCACACATGGAACCACAATGATATGTGATAAATAATTTGTTCACATAATAAAAATAAGCTACAAAGAATATGATGTAAATGCAGCTGTGAATATTTTAATTCAAAGTTTCTTAAATACTATCAAAATAAAAGCTATTAAAACAAGGATTTTCATAGAATGATTAAAATGTGTACAGCAAACCTAAGATGTACCCCAAAGTATGTGTCATGCTGAATTATACACCACACACACACACACACACCTTTTTCAAGAAATCCACAACCGGGTGAATAAATTCAAATATTGAAGCACCCACTATGGGAATGGTGCATCCTAAATGTTGGGGAAATAAAAACCAAAAGTAAATAATTCCTGTCCTCAAGAAGCTTGCATTCTACTTATAATTTCTAAAGTTAAATCATTTTGTTTTAATAAATGTTAGTTGCACATTAAATAATTCAAGTCTCTAAACCAAATGCAGGACACCCAAATAATATAAGTCTCCACCATGAAAGGCAACATGGACCAGAGAAAATATTTCTTCTGCCTATTGAGATGATTGTCCCAGGATGCTCTGAAGGAAATTTGTTCCTACAGAAAGAGGAGGAAGAGGGGAGAAAGAGAATGACGGTACTACAAGGAAGAGAAGGAGGACACCACAAATACTGCTCCCTCTTAATGGAATCATAGAATAGAGATGAAAGATCCCTTAGAAGTAAACTAATTATTCAAACCCATTCCTGCAGTAGATATCCCTTCCACAAAATCCCTAACAAGAGGTCATCTAGTCTCTGCTCAAAAGACTTCCAGAGATAGAGAACTCAAGACTTCTAAAGGCAACCGAAATTGTTATGAAGTTTTCTTCAGATCAAGTTAATATGTTCCTGTCTCTAGCTTTTATACATTGATCCTAATCTACCTAATAAATATTTGAAAGCAGCTATACTATCATCTCCTCTGCTCATCAAGTCTTTTCATCTCCTGGCTAAACATTCACAGTCAATCTTTAAACCAAGTGATTAAAAACTACTCTTTGAGCAAAGCCATTCAAACAGTTCTAATACACGTAACCATACTATTATCTATCCTGGTTGTTTTGTTGTTGTTATTGTTTTCTACTATTATTTAATAAAGGTATATTTGGTAAATGAATTAACTAATTTGTCTTATTACAAATAATGTCTATTTTATAAACATGGGTTATAATATTTCCTAGAGGTTTTTTTCGTTTTTGTTATTTTAAGAGCTCTGAACTGGGTAGCTTAATAAAAAGAATACTAGAAAAGATTTGGAGTCCTAGCTTCACAAACTAAATGACATCAAAGAAAAATCACTTATTTCTGGACTTCAATTCCTCCATTTGTAAAAGGAAGAGTTTGGACTAGATGGAAATTAGAGTGATTGAGGAAAAAATGAAAAAGAAATGAGACCTATGGAAGAAAAAATTGGAAAGGGAATTAACAGCTTGATATAAGAAGTACAAAATCTTGCCCAAGCAATAAAGACCCTGAAAATTAGGGCAGACCAAACAGAAACCAATCAAGAAATATTAAAATAAAGTCAAAAGGCTGAAGAGGAAAAAAAAAAAAACAACAAGAAAATCTTAGGCATCTTACAGCACAAACAACTGAATAGGAAAATAGACTATGGAGTGAAAAATTAAGAATTATTGGACTATATGAATGTCACGACCCAAAAAAAAGTACCTAGACATGAAGTTTCAAGAAATTTTAGAAAACTGTCCAGATCTGTTAGAACCAGATGGCAAAGTGGAAACAGAAAGAATCCACTGGCCATCTCCCAAAAAAAAACCCAAAATGAAAACTGCCAGGAACATCATAGCTATAACCCAGAGCTTCCATCAAAGGAAAAATATCGCAAGCTAGCCAGAAAGAAAGAATGCAAGTTGTAAGGAGCTACAGTCGGGATTACCCACAATTTAGCAGCCATAAAGGAGGGGAGAACTTGACATAGGATGTTCAGAGGATTTGGGCTAATAGCCAAGAATGACTTACCCATCAAGACTTTAATGTAATAGAGGAGCTTCATAACCACCCCTTGAGGTAGGTACTACAAATACTATTATTATTTTACAGATGAGAAAACTGAGACTCTGAAAAGTTAATTGGATTGTCCACAGTCACATAATTAATAAATGTGTAACCCACATCTTTCTAATACCAAGTCCAAAACATAATACACTCATTAAACCATAAGCAAAAATAATTGTTTAGGAATAAATAAATAGAAGGCAAGGTTTACTTATAAGCTCATGGCCCTCACCCATAAATGATAGATTTTAGATATGTTTATTTATCTATCACAGTAGTTTGATTTATAAGAACCAACAATAACTTAACTAAAGAAAAATATATACTTATAAGTATAGCTTAAAATTAACTTGATATACACTGTGTCTAAGTTCTTTCAGGAAACGTAAGTATTAATGTTTTTTAACTAAGAAATAGCACCTCTTTTGCTCTGATCAACTCCTCTCAAAGATCCTGAGGCAAAGGCATAGAGACTGTGGGCATTCTAATCATCTGCTACACTACCTTTTAACCCCACTTTTTGTCTCATCCCCAACCTTTTCAACCCTGCAGTTCCTGTGTCCCATTCCAACTCTGACACTCTTTCCACAGTGCTCTCTGTAATTTCCATTTCATAATGAACTTAATACTCTTTATTCTGCATCTCTTCTTCTCACATAACTTCCATCTACTTGTACTCATGAGACCTGGTTTGCCCAAGATGACACTGCATCTATAACCATCTTCTCCTACTTTCAAATTAGATACCACAAAGAAAGCACAAACTCATTAAGTGCAAAACTAAACTCATTATCTTCCAACAATCCTCTCAATTCACCCCCTTTCAAATTTTACAATATAGATTCAAAATAAGCAATATCTTTCTCTAACTCATGATAATTATTTTATTCAAGAGAAAAAATGGAAGAGGGCATGGTTTTGAAATTTCAATAAAAACTGAATGGCATCTTTTAATGCCAGGTTATTTCTCTTAAAATGGTAGGAAAACTAAATGCTGTCTGGTAGAAATTAGGTTTAGAACAATATCTCATAACATTTACCACAATAAGTTTTAAATGGAAAGAAGGGATAGAATTCTCACAAATACAGATAGGAGGATAATTCTTCATTAAATAAGTGATTAAGATAATAATAAAAGATGAAATATATATTTTGATAAAAATAACACTGAAAAGTTTTGACAAAAACAAAATCAAGGTAGTTAGAATGAGAAAAGAAACAGGCAACTGGGAAAAAATCATTGCAGCAAATCTCTCTTAATAAAGATCTGATATGCAAGATATAAACAATAGTTATTCTCCACTACATAAATGATCAAAGGATATAAAAAAATGTTCTAAATCATTAAGAGAATGCAAATAAAAATTCTGAGGTTCTACCTCATACCTGTCAGGTTGGCAAATATGACAAAAATGGAAAAGCGACTGTTGAAGGGGCTATGGGAATACCATACCAATGGAGTACCAGTGTACAACCACTCTGGAAAACAGTTTAAAATCATACCCCCAAAAGTCAATATGCTAGCCCCAAAGAAGTTAAAGATGGAGGGAAAGAATCCAAATATATAAAATATTTATAGCAGCATTTTTATTGTGACAAAGAATTAAAAACAAAGTAAGTGACCATCAACTAAGGAATGGCTGAGCAATTCATGATGTAAATATGATAAAATATTATTATACCATAAGAAATGATAAAATGAACACAAAAGGATTGATTTTTTAAAATCTAGAGTTAAATGAATATAACCAAAAAACCAATTCACACAATGACTACAATAATGCAAAAGAAGACAATTTTGAAGGACTTAAAACTTTTGATCAATGTAATAACCAATCATAACTTCAGAAGACTGTAAGAAACCATGCTGCCCACCTCTTGGCAGAGAAGTAATGAACTATGGATGAAGGAGAAAAATCTCTTTAGACCTGGCTAATGTGTATATATGCTTTGCTTGATTATACTTGTTAGAAGGGAGGGCTTCTATTTGGAGAAGTAAATATAGACGGTGAGGGGGTAAGTAGCAAAAAGAAAGCCAAAAGAAAAAATGAAAAGAAAGGAAAGAGGAGCAATGAAATATTTTTAAAATTCACATAAAAGAAAAAAAAAAGGAGCTCAGGCAGGGACAAAAACAAGCAGATCAATTTTTTAAAAAACTATCTTGTTAAATGTAATATGATATTTTAAAAACCATATATAATTAAGTTCAGTTTCATATACGATCCTTTATTATTTGGATGCTGAAATGTTCATGAATCAGTTTGATGTTTATCTCATTCATAATTTAAAAAAAATAATGAACTACTTCAAATTCTCTCTTCCAAATGCATTGGCTATTTGTCCCTTCCTACTTCTACTAAAAATACTCTAATTCAGGCTCTAAATACCATCAACTTGAATTATTGTAACGTCCTCCAAACTGCTTGCCTTGCCTCTAAGTTCTTCCTTCTTAAAAACATCCTACACATTACCAGCAAATTAATTTTCCTTAAATATTGCTTCTGTGTTTCCCAGTACTTACGGTATAAAAGAATCTTTTATGAACTTAAAAGAATCTTTCTGGAGCTTGGATGACTCTTAAAACCATATATTCCATTATCTAGTTCTATTTTACCTATTCAATTTTGTGTCCCAGAGCTCTCACTCTACTCTAGGATTTCCCTTGCATATACTGTACTTCCCTGTATCACATTCTCCAACCCCATCCCTATCCCAAATTCCCTGCTCTTCTCTTATTCAATTCCTAGCTAGCTTTCAAGACCCATTTAAAGGCCTCACTACACCATGAAGGCTTTCTCCAATCTTTTTCTGAATTTCTACTTGCTGCTGCTCTCACACAAGACACTCCATATCCTTTCACTGTGTCTTCATATTCATTTTCCACATGCCTAGAATAATCTTCCTTCACACCTCTGTCTCTTGGAATTCCCTGGATTCCTTTACAAACCAGCTCAAGTGCCACCTACTATAAAAGGTTCCATCCAACCTGGCTTTGAGACCAAGGTTGCTTTGTACATGCTTTGCAAATACTTTTATGTGTACAGAAAATCTCTCCCATTAGAATCTAAACTCTTTGAGGTTAGGAATTGTTTTGTTTTAGTTTTGTATCTCCCCAATCCCCCTGTGCTTCATTAAATGCTTGTTGATTGACCAATTGATTTCTATTTTCTGGAATTTGACATATTATCAATTAAAATCAAAGAATATTAGTGCTAAAAGAGGGCTTAGAGAT